GCGTCACGAAATGGATGGAGCAGCAGAAAAATTGTTGCGTTAGATTATATTGCTGGGCGCGCGCGCGCGGTAAAGTAGTGTGCTGCCGCCGCGATTTTCTTTTTTTCGGTGCGCTACGTACGAATTTCACAATGAATGAACGACTTTGCTGCTTGTCCATTGAATGGCCGAGGGAGTCGCGCGACTACCCGCCTTTTACACGGGCGCGCACGGTTTCGCACACACACACACACACACACACACACACACACGTGCGCGCGCACCTGCGGGCGCCAGGACGACGTCTGTGAGCGTAAACGGCCAATGTGCTCTGTGCTCACCTCCGTGTGCTTTTCACGTCAATAAAATACACACATACGGCGCCGACAGTCGGTCGATGTGCGCTCGCGCCACGCACACACTCGTGTACGTGTCAGTGTGTGTGTGTGTGTGTCTGTGTGTGAAGGGTACGTATGTCTGCTTGGTTTTGTGTTGTACGTACGTGTGTTTAGTCCGGTGGCTCCGGGGATCTTTAACGGGCCTTGTCTCACTCAGGCCCGACTTGTACGTGTGAGTCGTATATGCAAATTTTCTCTGTTCCTTCTTTTTTCGTTTTGTTATTTTTTTTCCTTACCCTCTTCATTTTGTTTGTATCTTAATTTGACCGACTCGTTTCGTGTAGCTGGGAGTTGTTTATTGAGTGTGAATGAGGGGCCATCGTGCGTGCCGCTGATCTGCCGCTGCTGCAGCTGCGCGTGGCTCCGCACCTGCGGGGAACGAACCTGCAGGTGGCGCTCTACGGAATGTAAATAATGTTTTACAATCACCTCCATCAGCTCTATAGAAATGCGCTTCTCGCTTTGCGCCCCTATAGGTGCACGCCTAGCTGCAATATCAAAAATCGTGCTACATTTCATAAATTCCTAATATCTTCTCAACTTAATATCCAAGCCAGCCAATATCGTGCAGTTTTCCGACCCCGGCTGGTTAACCGAGAAAAAATATTTCTTGACCTAAGCTTAAATCTAAACCATTATTTGAGATAGTTACAAGAAACGATTATTTTTCTGGGTTCTCGTTTCTACGGTGGAGTTACACACTCCCTCGGCCATGGGGCAGCAAAGGCGTAGCCCTCACTGCGTGTTGTTGTTATTATTATAAATAACCAGCACAGCCGCGCACCTCGCCGCGGCGCAGGGCCGAGCAAACCGGCGTCGTGATAACAAGTTTGTGCGGCAAAGAAGAGGGGGGCAAAGTGGGATAAGGAACTAAAGGTAAAGGGCAGAATAACACTACTGTGCGTCGTTTGTCCGGTCCAGTGCGGCAAAGGCAGCGGCTCGCGGGGAGCCCTTGGCCGAGGGGTCCTTCACTCAAAAACATCAGTGTACACCTGTACACCTGTGTGCATCGGTGTACACCCCTAAATAAAATCACGAAAAAATCATAAAAAATCACGAAACAAATCACGAAAAAATCACTAAAGAATCATAAAAAAAATTAACGACGAGTCAGAAAAAAATCACAAAAATCACAAAAAATCCAGAAAAATAGAAAAATCGGTGTACGCTACAATTTATAGTGAAGGACCCCTCGCCCTTGGCGCCTCCGGGATGGCCCTCGTCGCCGCCCTCTCGCCGCGCACGTCAGCAGAAAGGAGAGCGGCGCGCCACATTGCGAAATTATCTTTTCTTCTCGTTTTATTACTTTTAATGCATTGATTTATGGTTTTGGGGCGGGCTGGTGGTGGTGCGCGGGAGTGCGCGCGGGGCGGGGCGTGGCGCGGCACTAGTTTGGTGAAAGGACAGCCTTGGCGCTCTGGTCCGCCCCGCGTCGGCGTCTTAATCGGCTATGGCCACTGCTAGCCGCGCCGCGCCGCGCCACGCCACGCCACCGCCCCGACGCAGAAACACTATACACCGCGCTCTAGGCCTTCACCCCCCGCGCTACGCCGCGCCATGCCATAGGCCATGGAGCTTTTCGCGCCCGCGTTGTCGGTCGGACCTAACTGCTTATAGGGTGTTGCAGAACGTTACAAACGGTTTGAACCGAACGCGCCGCGCGCCGCCGTGCCGCACTTCGGCCTGCCGTTCCATATATCTCTGTGAGCCGAGGCAGCGCAGTAGGCCCGGCCAAGAGTACCCATTATTTGGCAGTCCACAGAGGAGTAATCAGCACACATGAACAAACCGTGCGAAGAGATGCTGAATTTCAAAAGTATATTTACTAGCAATAACAAGGATACACATTAAAACTGGAAAGTACATAAAACATCTGAGAAAAATTCGAAAAAAATAATCTCAAACATGATGAAATGATTGCAAAATAGTTGCTGACGTTGAAAGATATTAAAGTGATAAATCTAAAGGCGAAGACACAAATCACGTTCTGGCTTGACGAGTGCGTGAAATGTAGCGCGTGAGTTGAGGTAGGTGCCCGCTGCTGCCATAACCTTTCCTCGCCTGTGCCCATGCTGCCCATCCCCTCTAGCGTTATATGCAAATTTTTAATAATCGCACGTAGATCGGACAGTTTTTCGGGGCGCGTCGACGTGCCGTGTGGGCCGGTGGGTACAAAATAGCGAGCGGTGCAGGTTGAGAGAGAGAGAGAGAGAGAGAGAGAGAGAGAGAGAGAGAGAGAGAGAGAGACCAACGCAGCTCAGCATTCAGCAAGCGTACCGTGGAGCATCGATTATTTTCGCAGGGGAGCCTAACCTACGCACTGCGTGAGAAAGCGTGGCCCCCCATCTCGGAGGATTAATATGAAAAAATAGTAAAAGCATCGTAAGGAACCGTACAAAAAGGACGAAATTTTCATTGGGTAATTTTTTTTTTATTGCAAGACGTTATTTTTTAAAAAAATTTGGAAATAGTGTAGCAAAGCCGTGACTAAAGTATCGCCGTGAACTAACTTGCGACAGCAAATATTAATTCTATCAAGCGTGTTAGAGGGCCGTTATTTCAGTGCGAGATGCCTTTAAAAATGACGTAATTTGTACAGGGACTCATGATAGCCCCCTCACGCGAGTGTGAAAGCGTGGCGTTGGCCCCCACACCGGCCAAATGGGACTAATGGGAAAAAAAGAAAGATATTTCACTAAAAACTCGGGCGACAGGCGGCCGCAACAGTTCGTTGGAGCTTTGGCAATGGATGAGTGAATCATGGGAAGGGGAAAAAATATGGAACTCAATATCGGGAGGATACCCCGCGGCGCCGCGTCTGAGTGTGATTTAGACGCCATTAACGTCCGAGCTGCCTAGGACGGCCCGTCCAGGACCCCGTCGAGGGGCGGGTGCGAGAGATCGATCTCCACTAGACGAGGAGGTTTCAACAGAAGTTCACCCCAGGAAACTGCATGTTGCACTGTCAAATGCTTGAGGTCTATATTCTTTGTATAAGGCTGCAAATAATTTTTGAGCTCTGTATAGCAAAGCAAGGCAAGACTTTAAGAATCCTTGCAAACTGTTGTGTTCGCATAGCAAAGAAAATGTTTACAAGTTTGCGAGGAATTGGTTCGTTTTAGAGTGCTTCAAAATTCTTTGCAAGAAAACCGTTTGCACTACTCACCCATTCTTTGTAAGAATTTTGCAGTGTGTTTTCTTGAGTTTCCCACTCACATAATTCCAGTGTAGGTGTATTTCAACTTGATTCGATGCCAACAACGTTTACCTCCCAACTGGCTGAACGTTTTCATCCATGTTTTAAGGGAAACATTTCAGAAGCTAGCGGACGCAGTGCTCTGGCGGTGTTC